ATTACATCGTTTGACATAAATACTATCAAATAAGTGCGATAATAAAGATTGAACTAAACAACCGTAGATAAAGAAAGAAATATTGGTAGCAAAATTGAACTGAAAAGTAATTTCAAACATAACATCTGTGCTGAATAGCAATGACTTGAAATCGAGATTCTTAAATGAAGATAAAATTGCAAGGATATCCTATGGAGGACAGAAGCAAACGAAGCTTCTGTTGAAAATGGGAAAGCGATATTGAAAACTTCAAAGCGAAAGAAACCCCAGGACCGATATTGGAAGGTTATAAACATCGGCACAATGCGTTAGAATAAATTGTACAAGAATTGGGTACCTAGATATTAAATACCAAAGTAATTTGAAAAGGCTTATTTGTAATTAACAGTATATTTTGATCGTAAACGGATTGAAAAATGAACTCCTAAATTTAGCGATTCAATTAGAGGTGAACGGTCGTCGAGAAAACTTTATCCGAACGGAGTGCGCAAAGAGCATTTTTGGTTGAGAATCGGCTCGACGGTCGCACGACCGCGATATCAGAAGGTAATTTAAGAAATTTATACGTCCAGTCCGTCCGCCCACTAAGAAAGTCAAAAGTAATAAAAATGATAAAGTAATCAGAGATCCCGTGAAAACTTTATATCCGCACCGTTCGCCGCGGGTCCGGAGGTTAATATCGCGAAATTAAAACTTCCACCGCCTTAATACCGCGCGCGGGGAGGACGGGGTCGCCCGAAAGTTTAGATTAGATGCAGTTAAATTTAAACTGAAAGTTAACAATATTTTGCAGGCCGGGCTCGGCCCTTACTCCCTGAGACGCTCTGCCGAGCAATTAATTTTAAATTAAAACTTTAGATTTGTTCGGGCGACATAATGACGTTTCAATTCGCTCCCTCGAATTTCTTAAGCCCGCACTCTAGTCGACCTCCAGTTGTAAGTATAAGTACTACATTTTACTTGAAAATAAAAGTTGGAGAGGACGATAAATATTATATTTTACCATCAAAAAGTTATTTTAAATTATTTGAAAATTCATACATAATTACTGTTATTTATGACGCACAACCATCAACTTCGCAAACATGACATATTTTTCCCAGTATTCATACATTCATAACTGCCTTAGAGCTGTCTTGTTTCCGTTCTTGTTCGTGCATATTCATCAGGATAAAAACTATTATGTCATTATAAACAACCTTTATCTCACTGCAATTACTTGATTTCAATTAATCAAACCAAACAACGTTTCCATAAACAAGCTGTACTTAACCGACATAAAAGTATGAATAAAATTTAGTTACAATAAAATTACTTTCTCAACAACAGTAATGTTAAATAACATTTACGTTTACAAGAATTCTTGAGAAATTGATTTCAATCTCAATTTTGTTCACACTCTGTAAACAGAAAAGGTTTCCTTACATTTCTAAGGACATTTTTCAATTTCAATATTTCAAATATAATAACAAGAAAATTATTTACATAGATATATCGATCAATTTATACCTTAACGAATGCGTTCGTACCTACAACGTAATACTGAAACTTTGTTTGACAATAACTACATTAAAGTTCGGTCAAAAATGTTCGTAACAGTATATTGAATTAATATCGTACATGGTTGCCGACTGAAACAAAGAGAGAATAATCCTCTCTGACCAAATTAGCGCGAAATGTTTTTGTCAAACTTTGTATTCCGTATTAGAGACATTAAAATTCCTTTAAATAACCGACCGACGAAACACCACATTATAACTGCCTCGTTAAAGTTGTGCATTAAAACTTTGTCCAACTACCGACACACCAATATTGTAATCTGAAAGTTGGTTAATCCCGCGTTGTCACGGTATGGACGTCGACGAGTTCTTTAAAATAAATACTTTGTTGGTGTTTGTGACAATTCCCAACAATACTTTTGTCTCTGGAATTCTATGATCGTCCTATAGGACGGAAGTAGGCCGAATAAGCGTCAAATCCTTCTCTCGCTATCATTTTCGAATCAGACCGCCACGCGCCACCACTGGTGATATATCGTTATGATCCCAGATATTGCAGGGTTCGGCTTCCTCCTTTCGTCGTTCCCCTATAACCCCGGACCACTGAAACACGAGAACGCTATATAGAACTTTAAATTTATTCCATCGTCTATTTCGGGCGGTACCGCGAAAATCAATCTGTCGTAATGGCACTAAATTATAGCTTTATATTCCGGATATGATATCAATACCATCGAAGCTTGATGTCAAAAGTTTCTCGTCATATAACTATTTAAATTTTCATTGAATGCTATTACACGTTTATACAGTTTCGCTATTATTTCTGAAATTATTTTTTTTTAGATATTGTATCATTTTCAAACCAATTAATAAATCAGTATCACTTTGCAGTATTACATAGCTACTTGCAATGTTTATCTCTATAAGAATTCTATCAATTAAGAAGGAGAATTTGTCGAGTAAAAGAATCCATATCGAAACTGCTTTGGAAATTTTGAAGCCAATTATAACAGATTTTCGATTCTCTCTATAACTTTCTATCACACTATCTGTACTATTTGCAACATCTATCATTAAAGCGACGCTATGATCATAGTACGACCATATCTCAAAAATTGAGGTATGATGGCAAAGTATGAAGCCATTATTAAGTCCGGAACCGCGGTCATTTACATTTCCAGTTACCATTGCAGCACGTCATTTAATGCAAGTCTCGAAATTTAGACTACGGTAACTTCATTTGTGGACGTAAATTTAATGTAGAATAATCCAGAATCTAGATTATCATACCAACGTGCTGTGGGATGAATTCCGATTTGTCCTTAAGTCATTCAAGTCGGGAGTAATGTTTCTTCGGCAATCGAAGAACAGGATAAGGTTTCCAAAACAACGAGCATATCGATGAGTAAAAACGTTCTTGTTTTGAAACGATATCGTAATTTTCAACACCACTCGGTTATAATAAATAAAACAGCGTTGACAACACTTCGTACGCTTTCCCAAAAAGGATTAAAAGTATGAATTGAGTGTAAATTACGAAGCGTAACCCAATTTTGATCAAACCCTTCGTACTCAAAATTGATACTTTACGTTATGATACCGGTTGGTTTACTGCATGTATCATGAATCGTTGAAATAGATCGAGAGTTTTAAGGACCTTGTTGGAAAATTGACACACGTGTAGTATCTGAGTTCAGTAGTTCGATTTAATCAAGACTCATCGTAAAGAGAAAGAACATCTACTCCTTCATGCTTTATATCGCAGTACTGTGTTGATATGTATGGAATATTCTTTGCTGGATCGAATTGTTGATAAACGGTGGAGACCTCTTTCACGCTACAATACTTTGGGAGAAGAAGTGGGAAAAGTTTGCAAGTATGTGGCGATTGTAATAACTTACCTGAACTGGTTGTTAGCAGAGAAGTAAATCGAATGTCTTTCGACAACCGTTGAACTTGCAACTAAAACTTATCAAAGATGTCTTGTGCAAATAACCTGTTCTGGTGAATTATGGCCATGAGATGGTACTTCACGGAAATTAAGAAATGTTCTTGTTTCCCTTATTTTTAAAATTTGTGAAAAATTCATTTCCTGAAATATTTTTACAATATTTTATGATTAATAAGGATAATTAATTACTATATAAATCTGAAGATAAGTATTAACGAAAGATTCTATCCATGCAAAACAAACTGATGAAAAATGAATAAAAGGAAATTTATTCTCATCTTATTTGTTCTATAACAATTATTTAACAAAATAACTAAAACAAGTTCTTTTAATATCACGTTCATTTTATTATAGTAATCTTGTACTATTGTATCTTTATTGGTTTTATTATAACAAGCTAAATATATAACACATATAAATAAGTATTCCGTAAAATAACTTCTTCGAGAAAATTAGTTTTCTTTAAAACTAGTTCAATTATTTGGCATGGTGAAACGGGCACGAAATTGAACGCTTCTATATTATGCGAGCGATGCAATCATAATTGAATGCACAGAGAAGTTTGCAAGTTATAACTTAAAGGTAGTGTATTCGACTTATTTTGTAGGAATATGTCTGGAAAATCTTTTATAAGAAACTTACAAAATATCAGTTACTTGATTTCATTAAAAGAATATTCGAGATTTATTAAATTTTACTATAACGAAGTTTATTTGAGGAGCATATGAAAAGTTGATGATTACATACGGATAACTGATTTGGAAAGTTTAAGTGAGTTATTTTGGTATATCGATGTAAAGCAGGTGGTTATGGAGATAGAAGTTATCAAAGGTAGGTTACCTGGAAAATTAAATGCATAGGCTAAACTCCACCGTGCCGCCAAAATTTAATCTCATAACATATTTGACGCCGTCGTCGATTAATAAGCAAACTTGATAGAGATACGTTCGCTTTAATTAGAGGAGTCTTTGATCTTTAGTAAAGGAAATTATCATATATTAGAACGGTATTAAACTACACGTAAAGCTACAAATTAGTATCCCTAATTTGCTTTTGGAACAAGTAAGTTAGAACTTTTAGCTGCTACTAATTTTGCCGAGTATTTTTGCTAGCCAACTTCTTTGAAAAAGTTACGCAATCCCTGAATTTAATGTCGCCATTTTTGTTCCACCGAGCTCTGTCGGACCGACGTCTTATATCATTTACGAAACTTGGTCAAAATACACCCCGGATTTAAAAACTTTCGCGTCCGTAGTGGGAACATTTTCTTTATTACAAGAATAATAAAGGAAAAAGTAACAGCGTGAGGAAAACAGAGTAATTTTTTGGCAAACCGTTTCAAAAGTTGAGATCCTTTCAGGTTATTAACTTTATAGAGAACGTTATTTTTGTTTTTACTTTACACTACGCGGACATTTATGATTTAATCTTGATTAGACATAATCATTAAGTTGAGACATTTTACGATTCAAGATTGCATTCAATTTTGATCATAAAATTGTATGAATCCAAATGCAACACAGCATTGTAACTTATCTCTGTCTTTTCAGTTTTGCATAATACGGCCAGCGCAGTGAAAATCAATAGCCTACAAGTCCCGGAGGCAATCCGTTTAGGTTTCCCGGTGGTTCTCGACTGCGACTACACAATAGAAGAGGAGGCCGCCGATGGTCTCGTGGTGAAGTGGTATTTTAACAAGACGCAAGTGCCGATATATCAGTGGATCCCGACGAGGCGGCCCCAAGATTTCGGTAAGTGCCCTCCAGTGACTGCGTTTCTGCAAGAACGGTCCCAAATCGCCCGGTACTAAGCACGGCCGAGTGCCTCAATTGTACGCTAATTGGGTAGGGATATTTATGATACGAAGTCTAACATTCAGAAGTCTAGAACCCCTTCACATATCGGTCTTTGTGTGCGCGAAGAAAATTTAATTACGGAAAGTGGATCCCCAAATCGCCCGATACCACGTTAGTACATAATCTTATTAGTGGATGAAGCAATTGTAAAATTAATACCATTGCGGCATGGTGCAATCGGAACTCCATTACGGTTATTAAAACGGTATTACAAATCGCTTAATACGTACTAAAGCAACTAGGCTCAATTTGTCAAGCATCACATACGACATTTTTATATACTACCCCTATCTAAAGCAATCAATTTAATGATTACAATGAAAACAGTATAATGCCTAGTATTTGTTTAAAGGCTCTCAATACCTACGGGGTTTTATTATTTTTTTTTAGGATCAACAACATGCAAAATTAAATCCCCATATACTGTAGGTTATTATATAACTGAACCGATAAACTTGCACCCGGCTGACCAGCAAAACATTTTTGAATACAGATAGCGCAGGCTCGATCATGAATTTTCGCACAAAACGCGAGCTCCCTAATCGTATTACCGTATACGATATAAAACCGTAAATATCGCGGGGTTGATCGTCGAAAACACGTGAATGTAGGTCCGATTGTGAACGAATAATTGATTTATTTTCGCGATTTCGCCGCTATTATGACACCTATCACCTCCATTTCTCCGTCGGACAAAACTTCTGTTCCCGCATTGCGATGATACCATGAGCGATAGTATTTTGCCAGACAGGTTGACAAGACTGGCCGTTACCGAATGTGGTAGTGTGCATACGGGCCTTATCGGAAGTCTCAATAATAGATTATATTTCAAACAACGGTTCTACCGTCGACTGCAATACAGCTAATTAATTATTCAACCGGTCCTTAATGGTCTCGGTTTGAACTGCATCAGATTTTGGTATCGCCATATGTTTCCAGTTATCTAGGCGTTTCCGAATATCGAGAATCGAATATCACTTAGCATTCGAATCCAATTTCGATTTGTCTAATTGGATTAATTATTGCATACGGGCGATAGCCAAATTAACTTTGGACAAATTTGAGCGAAATTATTGACAAATGCTATTTCAATTTAGCTATTAGGTATAAATCGAGCTTCATTAGATACATCGTATATGTTTCAGTCACTTTTCATACATTAATCATGGTCACAATAACAGTAATGTTATTTTGAAATGCATATCCAACTTTTTAGAGTAACTAAAAGCATCAACTATGTAAAAGCTTAGTTAGGTTTTCATTAAAAGCACGATATTACTGCCACATTTTCTAAAGGTAAAAAATATAAAGACACATATTTAAAAGAAACATTATCAACTGACAAATAAGGGAAAAAGTAAACGTGACTAGCTATATAAGCGGGTGTGCGCGTAGTGTGTTAATTAAATTACAGAGAACGACTGCTTTTCTAATTTCACAGAAGCCAGGGCGAACGAACAATAAGGAAACGTTGAAATTAACCCTCTCTCTGCGGCATTAAGCATAATGAACGCGGTCGTGATCGTACGACTTTGAAAAACAGCAAAACTCTTACAAAAAGCAAAAAGTCGTAATTAAGAGCAAATATTGTAAGGAGAATTTATAATCTGAATAAAAGACGTGAAAAGTTTTCAGAGTTTCTTTTAATTTTTTACAAATGATAACAGTGATTATAAAATTATATTTCAGGTTTCATGAAAGTTATAATTAAAAGAAACCAAGTGAGGCTAAAATTATTAAGTCTTATTTTTAAAATTTTAACATAAAGAGAGCAGCTTACATTGCTGAGATTGAGTTGGTAATATTTCATTTTCAAAAGTAGTCTCACGCAATACTTATATTTTGCTACCGAAAGACATCTTTAAATTTTATGTCGATGACCAGGCTGAATATCTCAAGAAAACAGGCAACGTAGTAAGACTGACAATGAGAAACAAGAGAAAGAAACAAGTCCCTGGTTTCGATCAAACAATCTCATAATGAATAATTTTAGTACGGCTTAATTCTCATTAAACTTCCTCATGAACTGTTAATATTTAATAATATTGAAAAATGTCATCTAATTGGTAACTAATTGACCAATTATAATTAAATTCTCGTTAAGGGCCACGCCGGGTTTCGCAGGCTCATGCACTAAGTAGATGTGTATTCGGTTTCTTCTATGTATTCTATCCGGTAATTATTGTACAAATACGCCGATCAATGAATAATCACCTTTTATGCGTCTTTACTACGTCGGCGGTATTGCAGCATATATCACATGGATCAATTTAAACTCAAATAAAAACAAAGATAGGTACTTCAGCACACTCGTATTCGTACATTTTGTGTTGAAAAGAATCTAACGAAGCTAAAATGAGTACGAATTGAAGCTAAAACAAATCTGTTATAAATGCGGAATCAATAAACGGTCCAAATCAATAAACCTAACACACAACAAGTAACAATAAATAAGACATAATTTGTTGAAGAATACTGCGTAATTGACATACTCTAAACGGTAAAGTTATTTTTGGATAAAGTGAGTATTATAAGAAAATGTACGATCTTATTCATTATAATGAAAGGCTTCAATACTCTCCCCCTTAACTAAATAATCTAGTTCTGATTACCCAGCATTAAGTCGTCTAATTCGTGCCTATCGCATCTTTTTGTGTCATTAAGTTTTATTGCGACCCCAAACCCAGTAATTTAGATAATATTTCGGCGTAATAGGGGGAGGAATAATATCTATTGCCGACAATATCGTGGAACGGTAACAAATTTCGGGTTCCCCTCGCGATCCGCATGTTAGTCCACTTGCGTCAGCGTTTAACCACTGGCATCAATTTCAAATATAACCCAAAATCCAGCCCTAATCTTAGTTTCAAACCCCTCTGTATCCAAGTTTTGGTTGAGTTGCCGCTTTGTAACATTTTGTTTTGAGTGCAGGTATACTAAAAGGCAGATTAAATTTGGAATATTCCGCCAGCAAGGATATCAATAGCGTGCACAGGGCTCTTCATATCATGAAGCCCGGACTAGATCTCTCTGGAGAATATACTTGTTCCGTATCTACGTTTAATGGTGAAGATGTCAAATCGAAGAAGATGTTAGTGTACGGTAAGTCTAAGTTAAATCCGTTACTTTAAAAAGTAGTTTCAAGAAGTAATATTTAAAATTGAAAATTACGGTTATTAATTAACATTTGATGTATTTAAGGTATTTCAAAGTTCGGGCGTTATAGTCAATAACTCTGCAACACGGAATAATCATTTTCTACTGAAACGCTGAACGTGTCGGATTTACGTTGCATTTGCAAAGCTGTCGTCTAAAGTTACACACCACCTAGTCCTAACTAATTACCTAACGCGAACTAATTATTTGCATTGTATGCACGTTTACGTCTGTTGTTTATTATTGTAGGAGAATCTGTTACATGTTTTATGTAATATCAAAATACAAATTGACGTGTGGAGTTTGATAACAGCGCGCGCTCATTACAAATCCCGGTTAATTATCCGTTATAGCGAGGAATTTCATTTAGAACCAATTATTTAATATAAAATGACTTTGTTTTTCTGACGGAAACAACGTAGATGCATAAATTTGTTGCATAAATATAAACGAATTGATACTCGATGCATAAATAATGAAATTAATTGACTGTAAGCGATATAATTTTAACACAGTTAAATTAACCAACGTAATTAATGAATTGGACGTGTTATTAACACATGAAATTCTTTTTTCTGATTAAACAAATTATTCCAATCAACTTTTTATTATTCCACAAAATCAATTAAATTTCGGTTAAAATATAAAATAGAACTAATCCAATAAACATGCACTTTTAAAAAAACCATACTCAATTCAGCCGAAAAAAAAATCAATTTCAACCTCCATCCCATCGTTTCGCTCGTAGATTTTATAAAAACGCTTTTAAAATAACCTTGATGTGATAAATCACAATCGATGCGCAAACAGAAATGTTGATTAACGTTAAAACGGCAATCGGGGTGGTGGAAAAAAAGTTAGTGCAGTATACCAAACTGGCATCACAGTTCGCGTGAAAAATTACGGCCCGTGTAAAGCGCGAAATTTGCATTTCAATACTAACTCATCATTCGAATAATACAAAATTTCAATTATTGAAATGTTAATGGCCGCTCTCCATGCAAATGGAACAATTCGTTCCGCGTATTTATGAGTGACGCTCTTTTGCATTTTAACGCTCGGGATAACTCGCTGGATCGGAATTTACGTTTCGTGATTAATGAATCGACGAACGGTTCATTTTTTAATCCGTAGACGTGCACTTTATTATAGTTTGCACACAGTTTTAATATCCGATAGTGATATAATTAGGAGAAAGTTGACGGAAGAAAAAAAAATAAAATGATAGATGCATAATAACTAAACGTTCTACATTACGTCCCGCCAATAATTTCAATATGTTATATATACGACAACATTCTACAATTTAATGTTCTGACTACGCAGCACTATTTCACAATATCAAACGATCATGTTTGTGACAAGAACAATAAAATAGACGTATTGCGATTTCGGATTGGCGTTGGCCGGTGTACACGACTTCTGTATTGAACAGCATCAAAGCTGCTATTGACATAACCGGGATATCAAAAGGATTGGATTCGTACTTGTATACAGCAAACGTGTATCATTCAGTAGTGCGACATTTAATAAAACAACAAATGTCTACATCAGTTATTATGTTCAATTATTTAGCAATTAATTAACGAGTACCTACCGATACCTTAATATCATAAGAGTTTTAAAATTAATTCTTTAATGAAGTACACTATAAAAACTCTTGATATGATGTTATTAAAAGAAATTTAAAAAAATTATATTTCAAAACCTAATTGAGATGTTACAATTAAATAAAAACTTTTTTAAGGAAATTCTATCTAATTATTAGCGGTTAATTGCTGAAATTTGTTGTTGAAAATCTTTTAATCAACATTTAATCTCAAAACATTTAAAAAAATATACACAAAATTATATTTTATTCTATTTTAACATAAACTTGTTTTAACCGTCCAAATTTCTATTATCAACTTTTATTTCTACTATTATACATATATTGATGATAACATGTAAAGGTAGATAAAGGTATAAAATCGCAACTTGTGTTGAATTATAGCAACACGTGTCCTCATATGTTATGATAAGAGAAATCGCCAAGAGATATTAACACTCCATTAAAAAATTACGTTAAAATTCCAATTCTATTCAAATCTGCTCGACATTTTCCTCCTTTCATGTTACCAACAGCAAAGGTAGAAAATCGATCTCGCCAGTTTATGTTTATTCTAGAACAAAGCATGTTTTCATTCACGTTAGGATGCAAAGAGAAACAACATATATGTAGCATTGAATGTAGCTTTTCCAATCGTCCATGTTTTAAAATATACCAGTTGTAAATTTCTAAAAGTTTATTTTCAATTTTCTTCTCTGTGGATCAATATTAATACTTCACATTTTTAACTAACCTTTTCAAACTAACTAATTTCGATGAAAATCCCGTACTACATTTTCTATAATCACAGCTAATATATGGAGGTTAAATTTGTTGAAATTGAATTGAAAATACAACACCAACTTTAACTGAATTTGTTATGCTAAGCGACAAAGTTATGTGTGCTGCGACTTTAGTATAATAATTGGTAATATTCATAATTGATAATTTGGCAATATTGGATTAAATCACATTGATTTTAGTGAAGTTCAGCAGTTTCTCCCCACATAGATCCATCACACAGTATCTGTCTCGTGTGGCATCCCTCTGGGAAGCAACCTAAGTCATATGCGTCACAAGACGCACATGACGCACCTCCCAAGCTGATGAGGGAACTAACGGGACATCCGATGCCCAAAGCCATACAATTGGCACAAAACCGGGAGAAATGATGAAAAACAGTAAGTACCCAGAAACACCAAAAAACCTCTCAAGGGTAGAAACACTGTGTAGGAGGAATACGTGATCCAACCCAATTCAACCAATTGTCCTACAGAGTGTTCATATTATACATTTTTTCAACAATCACGCAAACAACCTTCAAATATAGCCTTAATACCCAACCTAACACTTTTATGGAGAGTATCGAGATTCTGCGCGCAGATATCCGGTCTTAGATCTTATATACCTGGTGCTAACGGGTTTGAAGAATTAGCTCAACCCATCATTGCTTCATATCAACATTATCACTATCTTGTTTTTCTGCCACATCTTCTACTATTTTGTTCTATTTTTGTGTACTATGTCATCATAGTATCACAACATTTCTTGAGCCGTTTGCTTGGTTTCTTCGGCTTCCTACACATTAATTCAATTGCTTTTCTAATTTCCTCTTTATCCATTAGTACTTCCACGCTTCTAATATGGACTAAATCTTCGGCTCCATATCTAGATTTATAGAAATTTTTAAATTTTGTAGCTTGCCAACATGATTTTATAATTTGATATTGTTCTTAAAAGGTATCGTTTAACAAATTGAAAAAATCTATACGAACATTGTCAGCACAGAACTTCGCCGAAGCTTCCGATTGAGTAATCGATAATATTTCTTTTAAAAACTACGTAACTTCGGATTTTAAGAAAGTTATTTGACTCACACTTCGAGAACTGAAGGTAATATGTAACAATACTACATATGACAATTCCATATATAATAATGCTATACATATATAACAATGCTGTGTTTCCGATCCCGTCTCTTCGCATTAGATATTAAATAAAATAAATTTTTAAATTATGATGAATGTGCTTCCAGAGTTTCTTGATGTGGTTCACATATGATGTTCTGAAACCTACGCCTAGATATACTGATATCTCTCATCCCTTCGCAGCTACGGGAATATTTTACTGTCGAGGTGCATATACTATTTAATAAATATATCTAGTAACAAGGATATTATTTATTAATTCGAAAATTTATATTTGAATAATATTTTGTTATCCCTTAACGAACGCAAAATACATATTTTTAGTTTTTGTTTTGTTTTTCTTTCGAATATGTATTTCTGCTATTTTTGCTGTTAATGTTAACATATTATTTAGCATGCTGTTTACTTCATAACTTTAGAAATGGCGATGTCGAATTTAGGACCACATCCAATTTCGTCGACTCTCTTACTTTTATTAGTTCAATAACAAAAATCTTATTTCGAACTAGAATATAAGGTTGTTTATTCGCCGTATTTCTTGTATAATGCAAATAATGAGAAAGCAAATATAAATTGGAAAACCTTATAAAGGGTTTATACTTGGTTTAACAATACTTTAATGGTACGTTCTATTTTTCTCTTTAAAATCAGAGAATGAAAATATCGGTAACCAATTATATTAATGAGGTCGATGTAATCCACGGGAATCTAGGTCAAAATAAAAGGTTGACTTGAAAATGTTTCTTTAGATTTAAAATATTATCACGTTATTGATGGTATTTACGTCTTTTTAGAAAATATGTAGTTCGTTGAAGTTTTTTGTAACGACAGACCATCATATGATTATTTAAGAACTTCCTATAAATTCCAACGGCTGGGAGCAATTGGAAATGAAGGATAGCTACAATCAAAACAATTAAAATAGTCGCTGTGATGTGTAACTGGTTTAAGCTGGTGTTGAGCAAATCTCTATTAGCGCCCTATACGTCTTTTACCAAGGGATATTTCAACCATGAATACTACTTTGTTTGAAGTTTATGCAACACACACATGTTGTCTATTAATGTATCCCTCCTCGACCACCTTAATCTGCTTTTCGACCAACTTTTAACTTTGTTTTTTTAACCAACTTTTGAAGTATAAGATCTAAACCCAAAATAGTAAAACTAACATCTGAAAAACTATCACAAATCACAAAGTAACATATGGCAACATTAGGAGATTAGAATTGCAAACTACGAGTTTCCAACATGTTGCTGTCCCGGAAATTAAGGTTAAGTGAATTGTCCAAGTTTCCGAATTTGCGATGCAAGGGTAATTTCGTATGGATTGGGATCACGCTTAAAGCTCGGAAGGTATGTATTATAGATGGATTTTCTTAGGACACAATCTGAAGCCGTTGTGTGGATGACAACTCTTGGATTTCAGAT